ATACTGGAGTTCAGTCAAGGCAGCTTGTAGATTTATGTAAGCGACTTGAGGGTCCACATGACTCGACAACAGTGCGGTGTCATCAGCAAACGTAGCAACTGTGGCGTTGGGGACCATAGGGATGTCTGCTGTATATATCAAATATAGCAAGGGACCAAGAAGGACCGATGTTGGCATGGTAGCTCAGTAGGCGAAGGCATTGCACTGACTAGTGTAGCGCAGAGGTCTTTCTACATGCGCGGGATCGATTACTGTACGTGTGCAATCCTGACTTTAAGCTCAATAATGTGTGGAGAAGCCCACCTTAAAAAAACGTCCAGCTTAAGTGGAAGTTGACGGCATTATTGAGTTTAATAGAGACTAGGTGAAACCAGTCGAAATCAACAGTTACTTTCAAGGCTTACGCTAATTCATATAACTGCGATAAACTGAATGAAATTATACATATTTTGAGCATTTAGCATTGTTTAAAGAGTAATAAGTGTAAAAACAATAATGATATTAATTGCGTTAGCTACCAAATATGGTTGATCATTCAATGAATAAAATATTTCTCATACTGTACGTCATCGGAGTTATTATTAGTATGTTATGTGGTATCTCTTCCTTTGGAAACCCCGTTAAATAGTATTAATATTGTATTGGTGGATCTTTTGTAGCTAAACACTTTCACTTTCATCAGTGTAATGCACAGGGTGTCTAGAAGTCGGGAATTAGTATTGAATTTCAAAATGGCGAAACCAATGATGATGATGTCTACACGGCCTCAGGAAATGTACACGATTTTGCAGCGATAGTGGACGACGACGATGACGTTTCCGAAACCACGAGAGACAATGATGACGTTTCTGTGACAGCGGGAAACGATGACGTTACCGTGACCGCGGGAGACAACGATAACGTTTCCGTGACCACGAGAGACGACGATGACATTTCTGTGACAGCAGGAGACGACAATGACGTTTCCGTGGCCGCGGGAGATGACGTTGATGTTTACACGGGCAAGGGAAATGTTCTCATGATTTTTCCACGATCCTGGAGGACGACGATGACGTTTCCGTGACCGTGGGAGTCAATGATGATGTCTACACGGCCGCAAGAAATTTTCATGATTTTGCCGCGATCACGGACGACGACGATGACGTTTCCGTGACCGCGGGAGACGACGATGATATCTGCTCGGCCACGGGAAATGTTTATGATTTTGTCGCGATCGCGGACGACAACGATGACGTTTCCGTGACCGCGGGAGATGACAATGACGTTTCCGTGACCGCGGGAGACGACGATGTCTACACGGCCGCGGGAAATGTTCATGATTTTGCCGTGATCGCGGACGACGACGATAACGTTTCCGTGACCGCGGGAGATGACGGTGATGTCTAAACAGCCGTGGGAAATGTTCATGATTTTGTCGCGATTGCGGACGACGATGACGTTTCCGTGACCGCGGGAGATGACGATGACGTTTCCGTGACCGCAGGAGATGACGATGACGTTTCCGTGACCGCGGGAGACGACGATGATGTCTACACGGCCGCGGCAAATGTTCATGATTTTGCCGCGATCATGGACGATCACGTTTCTGTAACCGCTGCAGTCAATGATGATGTCTAAATGTATGGTACGCGGAAGATTTCATGATAAAAAAAACCAAATTTGCTAGTTAGAATTTTTTATTGCTGCATTATTTCTTTACTTGAAAACACAACATTATCATAATACTACTTTTTGACAAAGACAGGGGTTGGTGTAATATTATTTAGAAAATTTGATTAAGCTATAAAAATTGGTATCGGTATCAAGAATTGAGAATCGATACATTTTGGTATCAACACCCACTAATCTATATAAATAAAATTAGAGTTTTGTCTGTACATTGCTTAGAATAATGAACTTTTTGGTTATTTTTACATTTCATAGGTCAGAGAAACCGAATCAAACCTTATCTCAATTTCTGTCTGTCTGTCTGTCTGTCTGTCTGTCTGTCTATCTGTCATTCTCTTGGTAACGCTAAAATACGCACTTTATTACAACTACTCCTCAATAACTATAGCACTGTCCCGCCTGAAACTTATTTTCCAAATACTATACATATATGAGATGGTTTTAGACGTATTTCATCGAATATGAGACAGTTAGATATTTAACAGTAAACCCTTGAAAATCAAGTTTTTGTCGATTTTTGACGTGGAATTTCTGGAAGCCCATGTTAACCTTATGAGAAATGAAATTATTGAATCTTAACAGCTGTTTCAATTAAACAAGTTGGTTCTGTTCTGTGATGTTCAATAGCATTAAAGTTACAAGGATTACCAACAGGGTGCAGCACTAGCACTATTATTTCTTTTACATTTATGACAACAGCTAATTTGCAACCTGGAGGCGAGTGAGCGTAGCGAACGAGCTAACCTGAAGGCAAGTGAGCGTAGCGAACGAGCTAACCTGAAGGAAAGTGAGCGCAGCGAACGAGCTCCAACATACAGGTGAGTGAGCGTAGCGAACGAACTTCAACCAGGACGTGATTGAGCCATGCAAACGAGATCAGATAGTAAAAATAAAAGTAAGCCTACCGTTATAGGATCGACCGGCAGACACAGAGGTAATTTAACCTTTTATTGATTGTCATACCGATCCGGAACAACAAAAAACAACATAAAATGAAGCTATGTATAATAGTTTGGCCAGCATATCTTAAAATATGCAAACCAACTGCTGTTCTTTATATAAGAAGGTTTCAACTGAATATTATAAGATCCCCGTGCGTAGAACGGGTACACAGCTAGTTGTTGAATAAACTAGTCTTGAAAAATCTGGAATTAGTCTTGAAAAGTTTGGAATTAGTCTTGAATTTTGTAATGGAAATAAACTAGACACCCTGAATGCAGATTAATCTAGGCCTATGATTTTATTTGAAAAAAATATCTGTTTGTTGGGAAGGACACATTCTAACTTCAAAAGGAGGTATATCCATTAGAGTGTAAGTTTCTTTATAACCTTATTGTCATGACAGTAGCTGCTAAAATAGTACTCATTGGACCATTTTTACAGCCAAAATATTGTATTATTTTTAATAATGTTACCAACCCAGTGGGCCACGGTCCGTAATATAGGCCACTGCAAATAATTTGTCAAGATAGGTACCGTTTTAGGCAAGGTTTAAACTGTGTTTGGATGTTATTAGACACGGCAAGAGCACAATAACATTCTTCTGCAGATGAATTATCCGTTGGATAAATATATGCCGAATAAGATTGGGTAAGTTGCATGGATTTTTTTTAGGCTGCTGCTCAGTGCACTTTAAGAATATCTATTTTAGAGATAAATTAAATGGTTTTTGTTGCTGAGTAGCGTAAACATGCACAACCCTTTTCATAAGTCTAATAACATTCAAAGGCTCTTTAAAATTCTGCAGTATATTGCAGTTTTCCAGCTTAATGACTTTCAAAATCAGGCACATATTTCTACAATTCAGTAACTCCCAATAAATGTGTGTAGTTTAAAATACAATTTAAATAAAGGCTTACGGGACAGAGCCCTAAGGGAATTTACTTAGTTTTTCTTTTGATTTCTCATCTGCAGACCGAGGCCTTTCTTTAGACACCTCTATAGAGTTACTACGCCCAGCCGTTCTCTTAAATTAGTGGAGACAAAGTTTCCATAAGTATTTAGATTCCCCAATGTTAATCTTATGGGAGAAAATCCAACTTTGATGGAAGATCCAGCCTGAACTAATATAGATTTCAAAAAAATACACACTTTGCAAAACTGCAGATCAGGGCCATTATTTTAACACTTTGATCATCAAAATCGGTCCAAAAGTTCTGTTCACAAAAATCGGCTTAGCGTATTATACAGTAGACTCCCTCTTATCCGGACTCCTCGGGACCGAGGCCAGTCCGGATAACGGGTTTTCCGGTTAAACCGACGTCCCCAAAAACTCTTTAAAACGGACCGTTTACTGTGATATTCGACTTAAATTTAAGAGATCATTGTATTTGGACACGAGATCACCGGTCTCGAATCTTTCCCGCGAGAACTGAGGTTTCGGTATCGCCCACTTACTGCCGATCTAGTCCGGTTAAACCAATATGCTGATAAAAATTGTCTGGTTAAAGAGATGTCATTTTCGCCGAGTGTAGTCTGGTTAAAAGGTATCCGGATAAGGGGGATTCTACTGTATACAGTAGAACCTCTTTAATCCGAACCCCAGTAATCCGAACATCCACTAATCCGAACACCTCATTGCTGCACTCTATACACAGTACAGTAGTTTTATATTGTATACTGTATTTAATGTACAGTACTGTTTATTCACTGTTTACTACTGTATTAAATAAATACTGTATTTTACTTTTCAGCAGCATTTTTTAACTTTTCCCGTAGCAATTACGATCCATTTTCGCCAGATTTTAGCTATTGTTATGTAAAGAAATTGTTGCATTTAGACTGTCATTGAAGAGACGAATATGTATGGAATAGAATTGCATGTCAGTGTCAGATGAAAACGTTCCTTACTTTCTAAACCCTAATTAATAATAACTGTACATAACCCTGCAAGTGCCCAATGGAAGGTAAATAGTATGCCTTTGGTTACAGTGCCGACAAGGGTGCCAATGACAAAACCATTCTGTGTCCTTACGATTTGACAGGGAGATGCCAAGATAAATCTTGCAAGTATCAACATCTCCATTGACCCCTGTAAATATACTTTAGAGTTAAGACTTTTACAGTTATTTATTTTTCATTATTAACATCTAAAGTCATATGATTTGTTATTGTAAACCATTATACTCTCCATTCTTTATATGTATAGTTTATATTGCAAGTAATGTCATGTTCAAGTTCCTTTGGTTTAGTTTGTTATTTGTTGAAATTAAGTTTGCATTTACCAAGTTGGTGGAAACTTGAGTTGATAATGTTAAGAATTCATTTGGTACCGGTAAGTAATTTGTTGGTTGCGGAGTGACACTAACGAAGTGCTTATCATGAATTGCATCACTTGACCATTTGCTTGATGAGTTTGAAGCCTCTGTTTCAGAAGCAGTGGGCATGACTGCTGTGGTTCCGCATGAATAAGGTTGGTCAAAGGTCAGGTACTTAAATAATCCTTATTTATCCTTTAAAGATTTACTCATAGGATGTTTTACTTTTGTGTTTGGTGCCAGTTGTTACATGCTTAACCTAAGAAATCTAGATTGGCGTAATGTAATCTTTTACTTTTATCTTTCCATTCATAACACTCTAAGTTATAAGAAGGTGTTTGTAATTTTTCTTTCTAAGTTTGTTAATACTTGGGAGAGCCAGAAACATGCTGCCATCCTGACAGGACATCTAAGAAGCTAATACTTAACACTCTCAGTGCGGTCGACATGTTTAAACATGAAAGTTGCATTTATTTCAATGTTATGCAATGTTCATTAGTACTCGACGTGTTAGACTGTTGGTTACAATAACTTTTATAAAACGGCACATTTTCAGTTTTTTCTTGTTACATTTATTTCGTGGCCCATTCTACACGAGTATGAATACCGCAACAGGAGCTTTGCATGGCCTTGTCAATATTGTGTGCAAGCTACATGTGTTGCGTGTAGTCTGTGTGAAACCCATGTGAGGCCATTCTAGACGAGGTGGCTCAGATCCAGTGGAGATAAGTTGAATAGCTTGGGTTGTCTAACTCCAACTATTTCAACTGCTGAGGAAGAAACGTAAGAAGAGCCGATGGTGGACACATCAAACAGATGCGCCAGAGGGACATTCCATGTCATGTTTAATGGCCATCGGAGGTACCCGGAATAGTTTTTCCAGTTTTACAGAAGGTCTGTTGAGACATTCGATGAACTATTAGGCGGGTTACACACCGGTATCGCCGACATAATGTCGCAGATATTTCTGATGTCGCAGGCATGATGTCGGCGAAATACAATAAAATACAAACCATGGAAGAGGCACGTGCTGGCGACATGAAAGTGAAGGAATCACAAAATTCATCAGTTTAAATAATGTCATCGTCAGAAGAAGATGATGTGTTGTTGCTGTTGTTCTTTCTACAAAAACATTAAAGATAATTTCATGGTAATTTTTCCAAAATACATTGTAATTAATTGTATTACAGTACTTACGCAATTTCCTTATGGTGTCAATTGGAGTATTATAATATCACAATACTACAAGTTCACACCATAAGGCAATTAAGTAAGTAAAAAAGCGCCAAAACTACTAGAAACGTGTTCTGCGCATGCGCGGGCCCAAGAGACAAGAGACATGTCTGTCCAAACACCGACCGGTTGGTTCACTCGAGACACGCGCCTGCGACACGAGTCGAAGGCAACGTGTCTGCGACACTGGTGTGTATAGCTCCATAAGTTAACATAGGTTGGTTTTCGAGGGGCATGTCGCAGGCACGAAAAATATCTGCGACATCATGTCGGAGATACTGGTGTGTAACCCGCCTTACTATTGCTGTGTCACATTGAGAAGAGAGATGCTGTCATGATTTTTGTTTTGGATTGCTCTGGTGACTCCCATTCTTGGTATAGTACATAGCTTTGTCAATTTAATTCCAATTTTTGGCCTTTATCTCACGATTAGAAAAATCCTTGGTACAAAAAATCCTTGGTACAACATACTGTTCAGACTGAACCTCACAAAGAAAGTACTCTGGGTCATACCACAATGTGTTAACCCAATTAATGCTACTGGACGGTAGATGTGAAGTGAGCTGCCGCGCGCAGTGATAACGCTACGTGTAGAATGGCACACGCCAATTTAACGCAATGGTTCGGAAATCCCGTGGCAGGTTTCACACTCATGCAGAATGGGCCTTGGTTTTCCGGTAAATAAAAAAGTTTGAAAAACGACTAATAATCGTAATATAATAAGAAAATATTAAATATAAATTGTCATAATAGTTTTTGTAAAATAATTCTGTAAACAATCAAGGAAAATTAGTTTCTGAGCTTTTATTCTACTCAATTATTACAAATTATCAAAGTATTATAAACATTTAAAATGAACTTTGAATCAAGTAATTATGTCGTAAACTAGCTAGCTTTAGAGTTTGCCTCCTGAAGTTATTATTTAGTTGCATTACAATTTACCTTCTATTTCTAACTTTACCGTCTCTTTTCCCCAACGGAAAAAAAACCATTTTTCCTACAGTCACCCGACAAAGTTGGCTTCCTTGTACTGTTTATAGTACAGAAAGCTGCTAATTGCTGCATATTTATACTTTGCCATACGGTTTATACTTTGTCGTACGGTTTATACTTTGCCGCACATCAGGATTCCAACGAAACAACTCAAAACAGCGTGGTTCTATTATGCACGTAATCCGTGTACGCTTGGAAATAGGTTGGCAACACTTAAAGATAATAATACTATGAGCAGCTGATTGACTATTATAACTACGATTTAACCTGTCATTTTGTGTTTATAGTTTCTGTATTTCTGAACTTTCTGGACTTTTCTTTTAAACGTTTTTAAAACATTCCTACGATCTTAATAAACAAGAAAATACCTTTAAAGCATTTTTTTTAGGCGCGGAAACCTCTTCAAATTACAAAAACATACAGAACTATATTCTCAAAACGCGGAGCACATTTCTTGCCGATGAAAAATAGCGGAGTGATACGGACCGGGTACTACTTTCTCTAGGGCACCTATTTGTGTTGCCAGCTGTACCTAAAAACGTGTTGTATAGTGTTTGAAAGACTAATTATTTATATGCTTTATAGTGACTGTAGGAAACATATAGTGTGTAACACGAGTGCAAAAGGCCTTTGCTGCACTCGAGATCATTCCGCACTCTCTCTCTTATGACCTACCTACAATTTTATTTGTTGCATTAGATTTGCATATATTTGTTAGTTAGTTCTTGGTTTGGCATTTAATTTCTTAGCCAACTAATAAGCTGATGAGAGTTTATACAGTATTATATACATTCATTGCTTAACATTTGTTTCAGCTCGGTAGATTATTCCAAAGCATGGACTTTAGTATCACATGGTAAGTTGGCTCTAGTATCCAATTGTCTTGTCACTGTTCATTATTGTTACACGTAACACAATGGTTTTTATTCCACCCTAAGACATCATTTATTGCCACTACTTGCACACACTTGTGTTTCATACACAATACTTGTATCTTATATTTCTGGCATGTCTATTTTGTTCTCAGCATAATGAAGTTTCTTAAAAAATATATAAATATGATTCAATTTTTGTTTATTGGATTCAATTTTGCAAATCTTTAACAAATCATTGGGAAAAAATTAATGTGTAAGTTATCTTTTAATTTTGTCTTACAATTAGAACTAAGCTAGCTTGGTCTTGAGTTTTGATTGTACATCCTGTTGGTGGAGTGCTACCTTTAGATCTTTTGAATATTTGTTTAATTGCTTATACTTATCTGCTTGGTTTTTGCCGCCCTACATTTTCTTTTTGGTGGTTGAATTTATTTAATTTCTACCATTGAAAGTTCTTACTTGTCTCTTTGGTTTTTATTGTATGAAACATAGGACTAATAAATGAAACTGATTCATTAGCTTTTAAATATTTTAATTATTACACTGAAAGAGTGAAAGGTAAATTTGTACTGTTTTGGAGGTCTCTTTGCTTATCACTTTTTTAATCCAATAATAAAGCGTTAATGTAAATTTAACCATTCACAGTTCTAGAGTTGTAGATATGGTGGTGGGGATGTAAAAAGTGTAAAGAGTAATATTTTCTTAAAACTAGGACGGATATTATTTTGGTTTTTTTTATCTTATACAGTGCCAAGGTTAAGGAGGAGATCAAGTACAAATCATACGAGTCAAGTACAAAACGACTTAACGATGCTTTTGTTTTAGGTATTATCAACCCGTATTTCATTGTTATCTTCCTTTTTTTAAGTAAATTTACTAAACTGTTAAAACATATATTTTTAAGTATATTTATACCTGTCCTTTATTAAAAGGTAAACAAGGCCTAACTAATATGAGTTAAAAATAATCATTGTAAATTTATTAATCTCAACTTCGGGTTGCAAGGAGTGTTTTTAATGGTTTCCTTGTTCTTTTGTTGTCGGAAGTTTTGCAAGGTTGATGTCCATTATTAAATGTGATCAGTCTAGTCTAGTTTGGACGTAATAATAATAACATTAGGATCCAATTTTCAGGGTGGCAGGATTTTGGCAGAACAGTTAAGCTACAACACTTTCCACCCTAATAGTTTGAAAATTGGGGTTGGTCTGGGGTCTGGGTCAGTAGATAGTTTCTAGTACAGTTTGGGCTGTAAATTGTATTATTAGAGAAATTATGTGTTAACGTTATCAATACTCCTGATTTAATAAGTATTTGAGGTTAATAGTGGCTTCGACCATTGCCCAGTGATGTTTAACTCCTCTGCTCAAAGAATACAACACCCTGCCTCCCTGAAACTTGCATTTCACTAGGAAAAGGTGAGTTCAGTTGCATGCCAAACCCAAGACCAAGCTAGTTTAGTCATCATGCCAATCCTTATCCCACAAACATGTTTATTTCACATTCAGCCATAGCAAGAAAGTTCGGAAGAAGAAAATGTTTGGTGTTCTTTGCAATTAGACGGAAGAATGACTTTAGACTAAAAAAGATATTAGTCGGTGCTCACTCCAACTCTAGTGTTCAAGATTTTCGGTCCAAGTTTGCTATTCAAGAAGTGAAGAACAATTGTGCAAGATGTCGGCTTGAACAAGAAATTTTCTGTGTGAATTAAAAGTGAGAATCAAGTGTGGAACTCATATAATTTTGTTACCTTGTACTCATAAAAGTACATTAAATATTTAAGTGAACTGCCTAAATACTTCAGGCATATATGTAATAAAAAGCTGTCTAATTTTATACCAATAAAATTATTTGTTTTGTATTCTTTGTCTTGGCATTCATAGTTCCTTGAATTGTTTAGTGGATCTAGTAGAATCTTTTGGAAAAATACACGTGAAAGAAGTAGTAAATCTCATGATTGGTCTAACTACTCAAATATTATGTCAGTGTAAAATAATTAATTGTAAAATCTGTGTCAAACAAAGTTTGGCTATGAGATAAAATTTATATACCTTCAGATGGATAGAAAAAAATATGTATGATTTAGTTGTTTCTGTCTTTTAATATTCGTGGTTGATTGTGATAAAAGGGGATTGGAGGTTTGTTTAAACTTTGTTCAAAATTATCAATTTATGAAGTCTTCAGCACAAATAAAATCTTTTTCATCACTCTGTATTCAAAAATTTCCCGTTTGCATACAGCTGAGATCTCCTATTTCCACTAGACGCTAGTTCAATTTCCATACACTAAAAACAAATAGTGAACAACTGACTATTCCTGAAATAAACATTACTTTCGCTACACAAACAATACCTTAACATAAACAAAATTACAATCAGCTGAATTTTTCACTAAAAATTGTACAGCCGTATATTGTGTTTAGATTAGAAAAATGAATAGATTACGAAATATCAGATAATATAGCCAAAGATTACACATTATAGCCTTATATAACCATACTGAGGTGTTAAAAACAAAACTGACTGGCTACAGTTGAATTTGTGAGATAACTGTATAGCAAAAAATTACAATATGTATTGCCATACAACCAAAAACAATGGTGATATATGAAATACAACCAAAAGGTGAGTGAGCGTAGCGAACGAACTTCAACCTGGAGGTGGTTAGCGTAGCGAACGAGCAAACCTGAAGGCAACCTAAAGGTGAGTGAGCGTAGCGAACGAACTTCAACCAGGGGCCCATTTCATAATAAACTACAAGTTACAAGTTACAACTTGTAACTTGTAACTTAATTTCCATTAGATTTGCATTGGGCGATCAGCTGATTTACTAATAATATTAGTTTAATACTTTATTATGAAATGGGCCCCAGGACGTGATTGAGCCATGTGATCGAGCTCACTTATGAAGTTAAACGGGGCAAAGCCTGCGGGTACAGCTAGTAATTAATAATAGTTAAATATACTTCAAACTTACTCTACTTTAAAAATCACTTGGTCATTAGAGCATACTGTGAAATATATAACTTACGTGATTTAGAAATACATCCAAATCATAATAAATAATGAATAATGAAATCAATAATGAATAAGTTGATATTAAATAAATTGTCTAAAAATTTTAAGTGATGGTTGGTGGTTGCTTTGAAAATAATGAATTAACATGAGCAAATATAAAAATATTGAATCTTCTTGCAAAATTAATGTCGATCCATTAATAGAATAATGTGGTTGCTGTGACTGGGATAATAATTTGGATAATGAAATATACTTAAATGATTTAATTCTTTCTTAAATGAGCATTCTTTCGTAAGTAATAAAACATAGCCCATAATTATTGAGAACATTCCAGTTTGTTTTGTTTTGTTTCGTTTCGATTTAGCCTAACCTCAAATTTTGACAGCATGATCACATGATCGCACTACAGTCAAATAGGTTTATCTTCAAAGATATTCCACCACACCTCAACTGCTTCTAGCTAAAAAAATCCAACTGTACCTCACTTCTACTGGTCCCGGTCTAAGGTATGGTCTCCTAATCCGCACTTCCACTGGTCCCGTCGGCAGTCCCTTTGCAATTTGTCTTACAGGATTACGGCTAGTGTTTGTATAGTTAATGCCCATTTATCGGTAGGAGCCTGAGGTGTTTCAGTAACATTAAAAAGCGCTGAATTAAATGTATAAAATTATAATATGCTTGTGAGTTTAAGAGTTCTTGAAAGCTAGCGGCCATCTTGTATAATTATTTCAAACAGCTGCTGAAGAGTTAATTATCATCCAAAAATAGTTTTTCAAACACCAAAGTGATTACGTAAATATCTAGTATACTGTGAGGTTAGAAATGTTGTTTGTTGTTTTGAATGTATTTCCAAGGGAGTCCATGGAAGCCAACGGCCATCTTGGATTTGCCCGCCATACGAGCGATGTTAATTTTGTTGTTTTCAAACAGCCACCGAAGGGTTATTAACGACCTCAAAATATTTGTTCAAATATCAAAGTGATTATCTAGTTTACTGTGAAATTACAGATTTGCTTTGTATTTTTACGGAAAGTAAATAAAAGAAACGTCTTATAACACTTGAAACATATATTTACGCTTATACTGTTACTCACAAAACGGTAAATATACAAAAAAGATGGTAAGTGGTAAGTGGCTTTCCGTAAATTTAATAACACGTACAATGCTGATCAAGAAGTTACTTTGTATTTTTTTAATTGTTTGTTAGAACGTCTAGGCTCCAAGGACTCATAATGAGAAATTTCAGCGAATGTGTTTCAGTAATGGGACAGGATGCATTGGGTTTTAATTCCTAGGGATACTAATAGGTACCGATACTAATACCTAAAAATATTACATAACTTATTTTTTAGAACAAAATATTTTATGTTTCTAATAATTTCAAATTCGCCACATTCAATGATGCTGAGAGCGCTGCAAGAATTTGCTGTTTTTGACCTGTACAGTGAAGTGATGCATTGTTTAGAGCTTTGCGATGACATGATGACCTGTCGAGGGAACTCCAAAATTCGCACAATTCTTTGACGAAGTATTTATTGTTTGTTTACATCAGGCTTCATGCCTCATTGCCCCGCTGGATTAGCCGCCCCAAAACTACCTGGATCCCTCGGGACCAGTGGAGTCGTTTTAATGAATCCTAACCTTTTTTGACCATCGGACGACGGGACCAGCTAACCATTACCCAAAACCCTCTGGGGCGGAGCCCTTTTGACGGATCTGCACCAAACTTCACACAAAAAATCCTTGAATAATGTTTAATACCTGCAATTTTCATTACAATCTGTCGAGCGGTTTCGGAGTCCATAGGGTATATACACACATACTTCCACTTTTATAGATTTTTTTTTTTTTTTTATCAGAATTTATTTTACAATCTGCTCAAACTTCAAATATGAGAACAATAAGTAAAACATATATCAAGCAATGTCAGGAAGCAAACACCTGTTCATCAACAAGTCTTGCCAAAAATTTGATCAGTCATTTAAACATTTACAGAAATCTGTAGCTTAGGTCCAGCACATGCACAACACTTTTTAACCTGTTAATGCACTGACTATTGTCCAGCAGATTAACAGCAAGACTGTTCGGATGATATTCTAATTTTTCTTGATAATTTTTGCTAAGGTCTGTAATTTCTTCTTTCACTGATTTAATTTTGAAGTCATTCCTAATTGTAGTGTTGGATACGAACCAGGGTGCGCCAATAATTCTTCTCAGTGCCTTAGCCTGAAATCGTTCAAGAATTTCGATGTTGGATTTGCTCGAGGTCCCCCAAAGTTGAATTCCGTATGTCCAAATTGGTTTGATCATAACTTTATACAGTAAAATTTTGTTTGCCAATGATAATTTTGAATTCGTACCTAGTAGCCAATTGAGTTTACGAAGTTTTAATTCCATTTGCTGTCTCTTGCACCAGATATGAGATTTCCAATTTAATTTTTTGTCAAGAGTTAGACCTAAATATTTTACACTGTCTGCCTCCGTTAAGGCTACATTATTAATGGTTACAGGAGGATTGTACCCTGTTCTCAGAGTAAAAACAACATGTTTGGACTTTTTTTCGTTGACTTTTATCCTCCACTTTTTAAGCCAATACTGGAGTTCAGTCAAGGCAGCTTGTAGATTTATGTAAGCGACTTGAGGGTCCACATGACTCGACAACAGTGCGGTGTCATCAGCAAACGTAGCAACTGTGGCGTTGGGGACCATAGGGATGTCTGCTGTATATATCAAATATAGCAAGGGACCAAGAAGGACCGATGTTGGCATGGTAGCTCAGTAGGCGAAGGCATTGCACTGACTAGTGTAGCGCAGAGGTCTTTCTACATGCGCGGGATCGATTACTGTACGTGTGCAATCCTGACTTTAAGCTCAATAATGTGTGGAGAAGCCCACCTTAAAAAAACGTCCAGCTTAAGTGGAAGTTGACGGCATTATTGAGTTTAATAGAGACTAGGTGAAACCCGTCGAAATCAACAGTTACTTTCAAGGCTTACGCTAATTCATATAACTGCGATAAACTGAATGAAATTATACATATTTTGAGCATTTAGCATTGTTTAAAGAGTAATAAGTGTAAAAACAATAATGATATTAATTGCGTTAGCTACCAAATATGGTTGATCATTCAATGAATAAAATATTTCTCATACTGTACGTCATCGGAGTTATTATTAGTATGTTATGTGGTATCTCTTCCTTTGGAAACCCCGTTAAATAGTATTAATATTGTATTGGTGGATCTTTTGTAGCTAAACACTTTCACTTTCATCAGTGTAATGCACAGGGTGTCTAGAAGTCGGGAATTAGTATTGAATTTCAAAATGGTCTTGAAAAGTCGGGATTTAGTCTTAAACTTGATTTCAAAGTCGGGAATTTTCATGATTTTGCCGTGATCGTCGTCTTGCGTTTACGTAACCGCGAAACCAATGATGATGATGTCTACACGGCCTCAGGAAATGTTCACGATTTTGCAGCGATAGTGGACGACGACGATGACGTTTCCGAAACCACGAGAGACAATGATGACGTTTCTGTGACAGCGGGAAACGATGACGTTACCGTGACCGCGGGAGACAACGATAACGTTTCCGTGACCACGAGAGACGACGATGACATTTCTGTGACAGCAGGAGACGACAATGACGTTTCCGTGGCCGCGGGAGATGACGTTGATGTTTACACGGGCAAGGGAAATGTTCTCATGATTTTTCCACGATCCTGGAGGACGACGATGACGTTTCCGTGACCGTGGGAGTCAATGATGATGTCTACACGGCCGCAAGAAATTTTCATGATTTTGCCGCGATCACGGACGACGACGATGACGTTTCCGTGACCGCGG